ATATGGCCAATAAATAAGGTGGTTTTTAACATCTTCGGTCGGCATTCATGCAAGTGAATAAATAATAAATGATAGAGAATAATTGGAAAAAAAATCGAACCCATTGCAAAACTTGTGCAACATATGCAAGAATCGGCACTAGTGTCACCGGTTACAAGCATGGAAAGCAAACACTATCTTCCCACCATGTGGCTGTACTATCGATTTACCTACCACATACACAATTTGTACATGCGTTTTATGATCCTGATGCAGCTTCGGTTACATTTCCGATTAGCGATATTTCATGCCAATCCAACAGCTAGCTTGTATGAATTATTTGGTTGATTCCTGCAAATATTATATGGGAAAGATTAAAAGCATTCAGAAGTATCCCCTGACCATCTGTATGATGACTTCAACAAGCTTCGAAGAAACTATAGATTGCAATACCTCACTGGCGGCAGACACTGATTTGACATTTGAATCCAATGTGGCATCAGAATTTCTTGCTTCAGACTTCTCATTTGAATAACTAGAATATCAAGAAAAATATATGCTATGTCATGACCATTAACAAGAAGAAGAAACATGGTATTAAACATGTTAAGCAGAACAGTAAGAACAGTGATGCTTACGTTGAAAGTATTGTCACCCATATCAACTCCACGCAATCGACCCATAGAAGTCTCTGTTCAACTGGGATAACACCGTAGGTAATCAAGTGGGCAAAAGGCCAGAGCTTCCACCCTGCCTGTTAAGCCAAGACAATTGAAGAAGTTAACCAAAGATTTTCATCTCCATTGGATCTAAATAACATGAACTAAATTGTCATAACAAACACGAAATATACTGCACAAAGATGATGTTACGACTTGTTTCTCCCACAATTTTGAACAAACCGTTTGGTTCAAAATTACTATTGTCCACGATTTCTCCGTTTACCAGTACCAAATCAGTGAGGTGAATTGAGGGTGACAAGAATATTTTACACTAGTTCCAAAAAAGCAGTTACTTGATCCTAAGTCTGGCGGCCCAAGCTTAAGGGTGCCAAGCAACTAAGGATTTAAAGATTACCATCAGTGATTGGTCACACAAAACTCAACAGCTGTTGCATAAACCATTCAGTCCAAGTGTCGACCTAAGTTGAAAATTTTACTAATGGAGAAACCAATTGAGTTCCTCATCTCAAAGAAAAAACCTCTGTTTTCTAAAGATTTCAAAAATAGTAATTATTACGTTTACTACTGAAGAGAGAAGTCCTTACGGTTAGCATTGGCCAAAACGTAGCCCTCAATTCAGTGAATATATTTGCTGGTGATTCGAGACGCAAGATGCCCAATACTACGTAATAGATGCTATTCCATATAGCGGACCATGCAGTTTGATCAAACACAACCTTAGCAGGTACAGTCCACCAGTCCTGGAAAGGGAAAAGAGCCTGAAACATAGCAGCACCAATTCAGGTTAACAGACTCTTGAAAACAAGCAGAAATGAAAATGCAGCGACAAGTGCCAGAGAACATTAGAAGCTAACAACCTCACAGAAGTGGTAATAATAGTGAGAAAGTGACCCATGCAGAGAAAATCCTACAAGTCCAGATCTGAACATACGGGCACGGTCAAAATCAAATAATGGCTTTCCTTCATAGCACTGGATCAAAAAGCAAGCTACTGTAAATAAGGGCCCATACAACTCAAAATATCTATTCATTAATTGGGAATTCGGGATGACATTCACCTGGGCAATCCAATCCCCCAGAGAATAAACAATACCACTTATCATCATCTTGGCCAGAACAGGATTTGTTTTCAAAGCTTCCTCATAAGCAGTCCAGTTATGCTGAGGTGCATACCTAAGAATCTCATATAGCGTCCAACCCTGAGATGGATCAACAAAATAAGATGAGACCATGAGCTTTACAACTAGGAATTAGCTACCATTAATACAATGCAAACTACTGAGGGTAGTAGATCATACTATATAATTATGTTTTGTTAAGTATTGCATTAAAGAAAGATTCCTGGTAACACTAACAAGAATATCTAATAAACATCTCAAGATAACTTAAAATGTCAAGACTATCTACTAAATGTCTCAAAATAACTCCAAATATCAAAATAATAACTTCAACAACGAAGCAAACGAAGACGACATCAAGAACAATCAACAAGTATAATAGCACAGCTACATATTCTCTCCAAACAAAGCGGGATATTTGCCATTTCTATCTGATAATAAATCAACTTTCTGTTTTGTTTTATTTAATAATTTGTATCTTAACTAGCATATTGTCTACTGTTTAATGAACATATATACTTTTTGTCATATAGGTACCAGCATGCACAATATTATAATGAAAACTGTAGTCACTGGTGTTAAGTGCCACCGAGCTACCAGCATTTTGCATTTACTGAATAGTTCTTTGATTGATGGAAAAAATACTTATTGAGCACATGATGATTAATGTCAATGACTCCACAAGCACCTATACCATGGAGTTCTTGCTTAAAAAATAGCATTTGGAATAACTGCCAAGAAAGCAAAATATTAAGATCCAAGTTTGAACAATGACATATTCTTCACAGCATCTACTACCTACAGCATCCTGTCTGACTCCCAAAAAGTTACAAGAGCAAGCTTCTCTTTTACTTGAAGAACATTTGTTTTGCTAAATAAGGAAGCAAAAAACTAGCTGCATCAGGTGATTGTTTCTTGAGTGTCAAACTAGGGACAAAGCAACGGTCAAAAAGAAGGCACTAATCTAGAATGTACCAAAGTAGTGCTTGGTGCATGCTATAAAGCTACTGATGCAATGTGTTCCCCGAAATTTCTTGTGGTTGTCTATTTTGACGAACAAACAATTTTTCAGAGCACTTAAAATTTAAAAATCATAGTCTTCTTCAGAATGAGAAGCAATAGCAAGTAAAAATTCACTTGTCACCTATATATTGTTGATTCAATTACTAACTATAAAAAAAATTCTAAATCAATGAAAAGTCACAAATAACCAAAAAATCAAAATTGTATAGTAACAAAAATCAAGAAGTATTTCATTGATTTTAACTGCAATCCTAATTGCTAAATATACAAAAAATTTCTCAAGCCTTTTTACTACTCCCAATCAAATCATTGTAGTAGATCCATTGCAACCCTTCCCAATTTTGCTATGTTGGTTTCCTTAGGCAAGCATATAAGTAGAACGTTATCTCCATCACTGAAACTGACTACGTGTTATAATCCTAAACAATTTGCAAGGGTTCTCGATATGTCCTCCGAACCTGCACGAGGTATATTTCTATAAGGAAATTACACAAAGCCAAAAAGAAGAAATTACTTAGAACTGGTTTTTTTGACAGATTAAAACAAAGTTCCATCGAGAACAAAGAAATAAAACAAAATTTCAGATAAATTGAGAAGAGGTACTTCACCCACATGCCAATACTCGCTATCGATAGTGAGCAGCTTGGTGATGGCGAAGGTCCCCGCTGCAAGCACGATTGCGGCGTTGATCGCCCGATCGACCAGCTTATTCATGTCTTCCTCTCCTATAACAGTAGCCGAAGAGGACGAGAACCCTACGCCACCACTGCTGCCGCCACCCATGACCCCACCACCGCTCTCCAGGGCAAATCCCCCAACAGGACTACTAGGCCCTTGAAGAGAATTCTCCTCCTCTTGCTGCTCTCTGCCTACCATGGGGATCAGTCCGTCCTGCTGGTCCGTGGAGTCGCTACTCTGCACAGGGATGACGTCCAGGTCCTCGGTCGCCACCGACACGATCACGGAGGAGGCTCGATCCCTTTTCAATTTTCCGGTGGAAGATACGGTGTACAAGGGCAGAGAGTGGAAGAGCTGCCACCCAGATCTGTAGTTCTGGCTGTGGTTGTTGGGCCTCGACGACGAGGAACGGGGTAGGAACAGCATCCGGGAGGCGATACTGTTGACGGCAGCCATCGATGGATAAGATGGAAGAAGGGATTCGCTCTCGGAAGAAAGGGCTGAGAGATCGGAGGATCGATCCGAGAGGGATCGCCAAGGAAAAGGGGGGCGAGCTTATATCGTCTCCGTTAGCTCGAAGGCGACGACCACCCGATCTTTATTTATTAAGATTAATAATTATTGTGCATATGATTATCCCAAAAAAAAGGGAAAAAAAAAGTACCATATTTATTATATATATATATATTATTTTGAGGACCGTAGAATTACAAACTCCATATCAGATGGCCTATCCGTCCGTCCGATCGCCCCCAACCACCGTTAAGATGATTTCTCCATATTTATTACACAGGAAACAAACATGACCATTCGTGGCCGCGAGAGAATCTTGAACGGCCACTTCCTGGCCATTCGTCTGTGCGGCTGGATGAACTCTCACTGTGGAGTCTTCATTGTCCACCTTCTCGATGGAGTCTATATCACAGCTTCCTGCAAAATACCTGTTCCACATCTATTATTCCCCTTTTTTATGTGGTGGAAGACCTAATTTTGCCTCGGCCAAACATTTTATCCGAGTCAAACTCATGTAACGTAACCTCCCGCTCAACCATTCAGCAAATTTCATATTTTTTGTGGTTCCCCTATTACTCACCAAATCGAGAGGGACCCACACGCAGCAGATTCAGAGAAGAAAATTATGGTCACCCATTACGAGAAGAGGTGGATCGTTGGGTGCGCCACATGTGGGAAACGAGCCGAGTATGTGGTCTGGAGTCAGCCCACAGGTATCCAATAGTCTGAGCTCACACGTATCAATTGATCTGGACAAGTCTTTTCCGTCTGTTTTATGAGTAATAAAACTAATTTCTGCACTCGATTTATGAGGAAATGCTAATTTAGAAAGAATTGCAGATGTAATATGATGATGTTCACATGCAACGCAGGTTTCAATGGTGCGGTAAAATGATCACTCTTTTGCTACTGTGTCTCATGTGATGTGATAATGATATGGCAGAGCACAACAGCATCACATGCCTGCCATGTTACTGTCGCCTATCTGACAGTGATGCATGCTCAAACAGGACTTTGTTTGAAGGACACAGCCATGTATTGGCGCCAGTCGGTGCATGAATGCGATTTATATATGCACGCGACTTCAAACTTCAATGCCTTTGCAGTACATAACTTTATTCAGTTGTACCACATCAACACTTGTACTTAATATGCGTATGTAATTCTTAACGAAATAAACATTGTTTCAGTTAAAGAGCTTTTAAATGACAAGGAGAAAGCTGAGCTTGTCTCATGGAGAAAGAAAAGACAAACAGTTCCAGTTAGACTTGGTGATACCTTCGAGCACGATGATGATGATGATGATGATGATGATCTGCGGATGTGATGAAGAAGAGAAGCTTCCTATGTCTTTTAATTCTTCTCTGGATTAGAGGAAGATGAAGCACTCCAGGGAGACGAGGGGGTTCTCCAGCGACTCCGGCTGCTCTCCTTCGGACACCACCACGCCGCCATCTACCGTGCCCTCACGCTGCCCGCAGAATCTCCTTTCTCCCTCGTCCGCCGAGATCTGCTTCATCGACCCTTTTACCCTAGCCGTCGCTGCCTCCGGCGCCCTGCATTGTCCCCCTCTCTGCCGCAACTCCGCCGCTCGTTCCGCCGCCGGGGACACCGAGCGCCTGTTGGATCTCTCGCCTGGATCTCGCGTGGCCCGAGCGCTGGCCTCTCTGGCGGAGTTCGTCCTACCGATGGCCGCGTGTTCGGACCTCCGCCTTGCCGGCGACGGGGAGGATCTCCCGCTGCCGCAGCCAACAGCCACGCTCCGGTCCCGTCTGCAGGCGAACTCGCCGGAAACGGAGCGCTTTTTCTGGTACTTGACCGGCGAGCGGTCATCCCTCGCCGCCCTCCTTCCGGTCTCCGTCGCAGCTGCTCGTCGCTTCTCAGCCGGAGTGGTGGGGCCCGATAGAGTCTCGCTCTTCGCGCTGATGCTGCAGACCTCGGAGGCGTCCTCGCATCTGGTGTCGCAGCCGTTGCTGCTGCGGTCTGCGAGAGGAACAGCCTCGTCGTTGATCTCCACCTCCTTCGGAGTGGCCACCTGATCTGCCCTAATTGGCAATGGGGTTTGCCTCGGCGGTCTGGGAGTCTCGGAGAGGACCTCTTTCACCGTCTCCTCGACATCGGCATCTGGCAGAGGTGGTAAGCTCGCCCCCGCGGGGTAGCGAGGGGTGGTGGTGCGTGCCGCCGCCTTCGCCTCCTGCGTTTTGGTACTACTGCTGAAGCAGCCGCCCATCCTCCAGCTAGAGTGGCATTCCCCCTCACCTGAAAGCGAAGAGCCTCGTTTACCACCGGGAGCCAACCCAAATTCTCGATGGTGTTCGCTGTTTTCTTCCCCCTTCCTTTTCTATCAGCTTTCCCAGATCAGTGGTTGGGGGAGTAATGGTTGAATGGTACATTCACTACAATGGTCGTTGGGAGGAAGAAGGCGCTGCTTATGGTCCCAACTCCCAAGAAGGAGCGAGGGAGACAGGAGATGGACGCGACTAGAGGAGGGAGATGGTTTCAATGCACTATTGTTATTGCAACATAAATACTTCCCACCTGCTTTCTGATTTGCTTCCTTTTTGCTTTTTTGGCTTTTGGTCGATTTGTTTTTTTTCTTTTTATTAATATAATAAAATAAAATTGAATACAGAATTCAAATTGACATGTTGTTCGATTAAGATTTATTTTAGTCGCTGATATCATGTGATGCAACGTGGCTTCGTGACGCAAATGCCTGCTTGTTACCGATCGAGAGTTGTGGCAATCGATTTAGTGGATGGCATCAGAGTCGCCCACTGTCCATTGGTTCCTCGAAGCGAATAAGCCACGTGTCAGTTATATATATATATATATATATATATATATATATATATATATATATATAGAGAGAGAGAGAGAGAGAGAGTGAAAATTTTCAAAAAAAAACCTCCTGATTCTTTTTCATCTTGATTAAAACTTTTTTATTTATTTTCATGAAATATCCATATTTTAAAAAGATGAAATTGGCTTTAATTTTCGTTTTGTCGATCATTACCTCCGCACTATCGCCTATGTGTATTTTTGCTCTGCTCTATCGTTGGTGTCCTCATTCGTACTCTCTTGTTGATATCCTTGTTCACTACCTCTTATGTGTATTTTTCCTGTTGTCATCTTTATTAGTACTCCTTCGATGTCATCCTCACTCATATGTCCCCCATCCTCATTCTTACTTATGCACCCTTACCCTCATCATCATCTTTGTTGATAGGTGGGGAGAGTGAAGGAATCGGAGACGACACAATGACAAAGGAGAGGATAAAAACATTAAAACATAAGAGGGAGAGAAAAACCATACGGATAAAGAGGGCGAAGGCAACAAGAGAGTCAAGGTGGACAATGACGTCGCAGATGATGGCACTCCAATCGATAATGGGGGTGGCAAGGTTGAGAATGAAACAAAAGATAATGAGAGAGCAGGAAGAAAGCATGAGACAAAGGCGACGACAAAGAACAAAGATTACGAACAATTTTATTTTTTTATAAATAATAAGCATTCTATAAGAATAAATGAAAAATAAGACTATAATCGGGAAAATATATATATATATATATATATTTTAAATTTATCACACATATATATGGTAAAATTTGAACATAAAAAATATTTAAATATTTTTTTTTGTTACTCAAAATATTTGTCCTAATTGTAAGTAGTTAGGAAAAATTGGCTATAAATCAAGGTACAATTATGTATGTATTTTTTCTCTTACCAGTATCTAATCCATTTTAGGAGTGACTTGAATATTGGAAAGTCCTCGTTACAAAATTTGTCTAACATCAATCTTAATATAGGTTGACATTACATTACATGTTAGACGTTAGACATCAATAAGCACATGTGACAAGTCAAAAGTCTCCCGAGGCAAGTTAGATCCAAACTATGTTAGGTTGGTTAATACTCAATGTTTACCATTAGTATTAAACAAGCGACTCAATGAAGATGCTATACTCCCTGATAACACTTTCACTCATGTTGGGCAACCGCAATTCTTCTTCTTTGTTACGACATCTTGCTCCACTCATGCTCATTTTAAATATCTATAATTATTCAATAATCCTAGTTTATCTATGCCATTAGGGACACCAACTCGTATCATAGTCCAAGTGGAAGATTTTTTCTACTTAACATAATAGGCCCAAGAATTAACAAGGATGATATAGTTTGTTGTATCTTTTATCCCATGATTGGCCCAACTTATAACTACATAGACTCCCTTGTAACAAATCATTATCCTTTGTACCAATGGATGTTCTATAGTATGGTTGAAGGAATATAATTGTGAGGTATCGAGATAATAAGATTGTAGTGGTTGGAGACCGAAATTATAAAATGACACAAAAGAGGTAAATCTCAATTTGAGTTTTGAATTTTTGATAAATATTTTTATTTATTTCTTGCTTATAAAACATTCAAATATATTTAAAAAAAATATAATATTGTTTTTGTGGTTAATGTTGAAATGTTTCAATTATAACCTTTGAGTTCAACTCTCAAATATACATTTTATTTATTTATATTATTAATAAGAATATATTATATAATATAAATAACATAAACAAAACTATAATTGATATGAGTGGAGAGTACTCTCCCTGTATTTATTTTATAATCGTTGGAGTAATAAAAAAATAATTTATTATTGTTTATTGTCTCGTCCTCATCCTATTAGGGATGGGCATAATTGACACACTTATGCATGCATCAAACTCCAATCAAACTCATCCCAAATGAGTTACGTTGATTTAATTTTATTTTCACCTTTTTAATATTCGGTATGTTTGATTTAATTATCCTTTAAATACCTTTCACATAGGTTTGAGTAGTAAAGTATGAGTTAAAATGCAGTTCGCAAGTAACGAGTCAGATTCAAATTTGGACATGAATGTAATCTGTGTTTACCTACATGTTTCGATCTGAGCCTCTTTAACTTTAAAGTCACCTCATATACAGCGTATGTTTGACCGGATCAAGATCGTTCTAGTCCAATCTCGTTCTTTAAATCGGATCAGGATCGCCAGTTGCAGTTTAGTGGTTTTGGTCGCATGTGATACGGCTCGACTCGGGGACCTTCTACTTGCGATCGCATGTCCGTCGCGCGAAAGCTTCCATCGCGGACGACATTTTCCTCTCCGAAGTCAGATCTGCTCGCTCTTCTCCTCTCCTCTCGGCGCTCTTTCCAGTCGGCGAATTCTTGCCCGCGGTCATCCGATTCTTCTGTTCTTTCCGCTCGATTTATCTTCTGATTCGTGGATCACGACGGATTTCTTGCCCTGACGGTCTGAGATCGAGTCGTGAAGGGGTAGTCGAGGCGGATCTCCACAGGACTCTTCGTCATGGCGGCCGCCTCCGCCGCTTCGGGGTTTATCATCCGCTCCTTGGAGGCCATGCTCAAGGAGTGCATGGGAAAGAAGTACCCCGCCCTGCAGAGCGCTGTGCAGACTTGTCTAGGTCGGTACATCCCCAAGTCAGTTTTTACATTTTTTCGTATTCAATCCTTACTTTATTTTGTCTTCCTTTAGTATTCCGAAGTCGTTGCCTGTAGACCTGATCTATCTGTCTACATTACCTGCAATATTTTGAGTTCGCATTGAAAAAGAACCCATAGAAAATTGACTGAAGTATAATCGGATAAAATGTTCCTGGACATATAGAATATCAAGCAAGGCTTGTGATTTCATAATAAGACGATCGAGCAAGATGGAATCCACATGATTAAGGAAAACGAAGAGTAAGCAAAAATCGAGGAAAATATTAATGAAATGAAAAAAAAATAAAAGTGCTTTCGGATGTCTAGAGGGAATTTGCAGTTGAATGTAGTACGTTAGGAGCTAGTCAAAGGGAAGGAAAGATATTCTATGAAGTATGGCAAAGGTGTGGGAAAACATAGGGCTTTTGGAGATAGAAACTAACTGGAATAGAAGAATAAAAACTCATAGTTGGAATGTTGGATGAAATTTAATGCTTTTGGTAATTTTACAATAATTTAGGTACTGAAGATGGAGAGATCATCTCAGGACTTCAAAAAGGATAAAAGAAAGAGTGGGGATTTAGGTAATGTTAAGTACATAGAGGATGAAGACTGTAGATGTTTGATCGAAGTTGCTGCCACTAAAAGGAATACTGGGCCAATTTGAGGAGTTATTTTATATAACAATCTAGATGACACTTTCATAGTCAGAGAGTATGGTAGGAGTAGGACCTGTATTAATACTGAAAAAAGTCATGTTAACATTGGAAATACCGCAGGAAAAAGCTGGTTGTGCTATGAAAATGCTTAAAAGATAAATGAATAATTTGGCATACTCATTCAATAGAACCCTGTAACTAGAGGTATGCCAGCTGCATGGGGGAAGGTAATACAATCCAAGTATGGTAAATTAGAATTACAGTCAAATTTGGGTGTACTTTAGGCATGGTTTTGACTAAGTTTTGTTTATTCATGTTTTCAAGGTTATATTATACCAGCTCTGCCCTTATGGAGACTCAGATTATGTATTGAATACTTGAATTTTTAGGAAATATATGGTAGGTACTAAAGTCATATTAAGACCTGTTTTTGTTAAATAAAGTCCACTTAGATCTTTTAAAGTTGAATTTGAATTTGTCTGTCGTGGAGAGGACAAGTCCACTTTTATATATATATATATATATATCATTAAACGGTGGTGAGAGAATGCAACATATTGGTGGGCTAAACTTGACTTGCCCTAAGTTGTGTTTTCGTTCTTGTGCATAGGGATGGCATAAACATATATGGCTAGGAAACATGAAAAATGGATCTAATTAGAGAAGAGACGTTGGCATGGTTGTAGTGAATAGCACACCAGGTGAGAAGTTGGGGAAAATGTAAAGAAGAAGGAGATTATGGAAATGGGCAGCAATTACCTAAAAATCTTTTTGTCAGTTCAAATTGTTTCTCTTATTGAAACTGAGAATTTTACTTGGTTGTTTTATCTTAACATTTAAACTATAATTCAAGCTGAGAATATTTGTAATCGATTGTTTTTATCTTCCACTTTCAGACAACATGAAAGAGACCAAGCCAGAGTTGACTTCTGATGATCATAACCATGCAACAACTTTGGCAGGGGCTGAGAGGTTGCTAAATTTCTTATTATGTGCTTAAGTTTTACATTAACTTATGCAATGTTTCTATTGGGATCAAGATGGCTTTCTGTTTCTGCTATAAATAATTATCTTTTAGATACTAGTGGATTTCACACATTCCTGATATCAGTCATGATACCTTCAAGGTTGATGTGAGCCTCGATTTGACATATTTTGTAGGCACTTAGTTGGTTACTTCATTAAGTGTTCAACTATGCTTTTTTTTTTTTTGCAATGCGCTTTCACCAAGTTCTACAGACATTAATCAGTTATTATTGTCGCATAGCATTGGAGCTGAAGGTGCTATAGCAGTGAAAGAAGGGGAAGCTCCAGTTGCAGGTACTGAAAAGGATGTAACCATGAATATGTCCCAAGAGACGAGTGAACCTATTATAGCAGCTTTAGCAAGTGCTGGCCACACCTTAGACAGGACCCAAGCTGAGCT